TTCATGGACCAAAATATTGAATTTTTATTTTCAATATTATTGATTTTACAATTGATTTTTCTTATTGAATTGGCACCAAATTCAATATCGCAATATTGAATTCTAATTGGCGATATTGAAAATGCACTTTTTATTGAATTTTTTCAATACAGGATTCTCAGGGTGGGTCCCTCGGAGCGTCGAGGAACGGATGACATGCCTGTCCCGGCGCTCGCCAGAGCCGATGGTCCCCGGCTGGTGAACAGCAGCTTCTTGACCAGTTGGCTCCAGAGGCGCTCCAAGTTCTCCTGGTCTTGCTCGTCCCGACCCCTGGCCTTCTTGGCAGCTGCCTTCGACAACATGGCAAGAGGGGTCGACGAACTTCAAAAAACTGGACTTGCGATTGCACACACTTCTTGGCTCAACACTTGAGGCGTCAGGCGAACAAGCGAAGTCAAACGTGGGCTCAAACTCAATGTCACAACCTGCCTCATCTGCTACGCCTTCTAGCCAACTCTGCAAAATCTCCCAGCGGCTGAAAACTGTGACATGCCAAGCTGGTTGATCAAAACACTGCCGTCTCATGCTTTCCGACAGGCTCACCCTACTTCCGTGCAGTTCTGTGCCTAAAATGAACGACTCCGACATGAACATGAGAAGTGAAAGACTGCACACACGCTCACAGCTGTCTAGTCCGTCCGGAATGTCCCAAGAGTCCCTATAGCTACCGGCTCGAAGAAGAAAATAGTCTCCTCAAGATTCTCTCTAGCTACCAATAGTCATCGGGAACCTTGGAAAATAGCCTGGTAGAAGATTCTCCAGATAGCTAGTCTTGACTCTGCACCCATCCCCAAGACGCAGTGCACTCATGTATGCTCCCGAGGCGACCGGGCTGGAGAGGTCAAAAGCTCTCGGGGACAGTTGAAACTTCTCTGCAAGCTCCTCAGGTACCGGAAAGCTACCACCTGGCCACTTGGTGATGTCCACTGTACGGTGACCTGATGAAAGACGATTCATTCGGTCCTGAGTGCCAAAACCCTTAAAGGAAATCACGTTCTGTTCGGTGTCTATGACGCTCTTCGCATGCTCCAACAAACCTATTGACAACAGCTGTGCAACATCTTCTTCGACCACAGTCAACTGAATGATCCCTGGCTTTCCGCCCAGGATACACGGAGACAAGGCGGTGAACAAGGTCTTCGCTTGTCCACCCATGCCGGACGCTGGTTCTGGGACCTTGTCCAATCGAATTGGCTGGAAGCTTCTCCCTCAGCCGCTCGTAGCTCTTCAGCCCAATGAGGTCCTGTGAGGCGCCAGGGTCGATGATGGCCTGTCCTGGGGGCAGCTGTAAAAAGGAGAAACGACCCTCCCCAGTTGCCCAGTTGCCACTTGTCACGGACAACAGTGAGGTGAGAAAGAAAGCGTCGGCTGCATCTGTCTGAGGCGTTGCGCCCAGAAAAACAAAGGTGCTTGGCTTCCCAGTCGAACTCTTCGGACGATGAGGCTTCTGACACTCTTCATGCCAGTGCCCCTTCTCTCCGCAGTTGCCACACTTCGTCACCTTCTTGAGCTCGGCGATGGACAACCGTCGCTTGCCGCTGGTCCTTGGTGGTCGAGAACCCTTCTGATCAAAATGTCGCCTATCTTTCTTTTGGGCGGCCTTCAACAACTTGTTCTCTTTCCACGTCTTTCGTCGGTCGGAGCCCAGCTCTGCCAAGAGGTTCAGGGCCTCGTACTCGTCAACGTCCTGGTACTCCAACGCCACAAAGATCTCTTCATCTTCAGGGTCGTAGGTCCCGTCCTGGTTCTCCGCGAAGTCCTCGTCCAAGAGGTAGGACGGTTTCTGCCCTTTGATCATGGACTCTTCTTCGCAATCTAGCACCTGCAACGCTCGTCGAACTTGACGGTAGTCGTGCTGTCCTCCCGTGAGAGTGCGAAGGTTTTGAGCCCCTTGCCTGGACAGCCCCGCCTGCTCCTCCAACATGATGCCCTTCAGCTCTACCGGAATGTCGATGTACCGCTTGGCATTCTCGAATTGGGCATCACGCCTCAAGGCGTATTGTGCTAGGGACTCGTCCGCCCGTCTGGCACCCTCATACAAGGCAGCACGGACTGTTCTCCTCTTCTCAGTGTCTTCTTTCTCCCCAGCCAGGATGTCGAGGACTGCGAGGATCTCCGACAGATAGCTCGGCGAGGCCAGGGTCATCTCAGTGAGGTGGTCCAACTTGGATTGGAGTTCCCAGTCCAGAGATTTCAACACCTTCTCGGCTCTCCTCCAGATGGGAACGTCCGTGTTGCCGTCCCACCTTCTCAGAGCCCTCCTCCATAGCCTATAGTTTCCCCAACCAGCCCATGGAGGGGGATCAGCATAGTCTCCCTTGGTGCCGGACGTCCACCAGGATCCCGATTGGCCCCATCCCCTCGATGAAGCCTGCCTGCCATGGATCTCCCTGCGACCAGGGACCTGGTCTCGAAGGTGCTGCTGTCGTCTGCTGAGTTCCTTGTCCCGCAGCTTGCGAGGAAGTGGACTCTTGCTTCTGCGGAGTCGCGTAGTAGACTGGTTGACTCCAGTCACCCCAATAGCCCCATTGACTCCAGGTCCTCGTAGTAGCCTGCTCGGTGCTCTGCGGCGTGCCCCCCTTTTCCCTGCCTGCTCCTTCAGTCTGGCTGGTGAATTCTTTCACCTCCGTCTCTTCCGTCCCAGACATGGGACGGGCCCTGGTGTCTGAACCAGGGCTCCGCCTACCACTGTTGCAAACCAGAGGCCGCTAAGATGCGCCTTTTCCAACACCGACCATGCAGCAGTAAACACGGGTGAAAGGGGTCACGTCTAGAGCCTAGAGCAACGCCGAGTCGTGCCACCTCAAACGACAAGTCAAACCAAGGTGAACAACTGAAACATATGTTCTGAAAAATGTGCATAAGAAAATAGTAGCTTTATTCCTTGCTAGTAGCGATGCCCTTTGCTACTAATAGCGTCCTTTCTAGTAGTAGTCGATGCCCGGGTTCCTAGTAGCGATGCCAGGAGCTACTAATAGTAGCATTCTTACTACTAGGAACAAGAAATGAATGAGTCCTGCCATTGTTCCTCTTTTCTTGCTTTCTTTTAGAGAAACAAGGGCTTACGACAAACGAGCCAAGAAGCAAATAAAGAACTGTTGAAGTACCGGGTTTGCTAAGTTAAGCGGGAGAATGGTCAACAAGAAAACCAAGCTACAAGACCAAAACAAAGCATCCCAAAATAAACCAATATATAGTTAATTACAAACCAGTGGATCGATACGGTCTAAGTCATAGTTTTTTTGGCTTTTGTTCTTTTTTGGTTGTCACATAGTTCGAGCTGGAGTTCAGCTTGCAAAAAATTGGGGAAAACAACAGAAAACAAACCAAGGCACGCGTGTGGAACATATAGTTGTGTATTAAGATAGAGAGACTTTCTGAGAGGTCCCTCTATTAAATTACGGACCCATACGATATTGAGTAGTGTCTTTAAGCTAAGAGTTGAACTCCAGCTCCAAGTGAGTGACAGCCCAAGAGAAACATTGACATTTGTGGAACATATGGTAATGGGTCAACTCAATAGTATTGTCGTTTGTTTTTGGTCTGGCTGTCACACAGTTGACCCACATTTTTAGGGAAAGCAGTTGGCACATGAATGTTTTCATGTGCAAAATATACCAAGTAAACTAACCACACAGTAGCAGTTAACTCACAAAGAGTACTGGTCAAACTAGTATATTCTTTAGGCTGCTCGGTCGAACTTGTTTTCTCAAAATTGACATAAAGGGTTGGGTCGTCTGAAAAAATTAAGTGACATCTGCCCCCACCAACCCAGCAGGGTAGGTTTGAACATGGTGGAACCAAGCATTGCGCTTTTCAGCCCGCGAGCACCTCAAAAACGACAACATTTCAGAACATAACGACAGCGATTGCTGGTTCGAGTCGTTGCCATTTTTTAGATGCTCCTAGTCTGGAAAGGCAAAACATGACCACGTGTGAGAAATGTTGTTCGAATCCACCCCTGCATCCTCAAATTCCAGATATTTTAAATATGTAAAGGACTATAAAGGTAAAAACTAATGTCTGTATGTGTGTGTGTGTGTCCCACCCTGGACAAAGGGTCTTACACCACCACTCTTCCCATTCTCCACAGGCAGGGGGCAGTGACAGAGTTTGTGGAATCACTGCCAACGAAGACGTCCACATTCTCTGGTGATGCATCGGGAGACGTCCTGATGTGTACCTGCTTCAACTTTTGAACACGCTGTCCAATCTTTTTGGTTTGATTCATGGTGGTTCCACATGATCCTTTCCCCACAAACAGGTTTTTGCAGCTGAGTTGCGCCGCTTCGTCACTGCAGTCAAGGGAAACAGCTTTTGTTCAAACACCTACAATTGTCTCCGACTTTCCGCCATGCTGTTCTGTCGCCTTCCTTCTCACCGAGACACTTGCGTTAACTGAAAACCCAAGTTCGAAGTGTGTGTTTCCGTGTTCGTGCATTTTTGTCTTCTCTTGGCGATGTTTTCTTTAATCTTCCTCAAATTGTTAGATTTCTTGAGTGAACAACTCCATTGAGTCAACACGGCCACTCCTTGGTGAATTGCTGAAGTTGGCTGAGCAGTTTCTCCAGGGTGTAGGGTGTTCAAATCTCGAAACATCCACTTCCAACCTGCTTTTACCTACTGTAATAGCGATGGCCTCCATCCTAATACTTCTACACACGCGACGTCTACTTTGAGCCTGCTTGTGGAACTTCGCTTCTTGCTTGAAATCTGTGGCTTCGAAAGACCCGAACTTGGAAGTGACCACTTCTGAAAGAAAAATGGCCTTCGACTGATTGCAACTGGTTGTGCTGGTCAATCCGGACAGGGCCAGGAAAACAAAGGAAACCCGCGGCTTGGTGGTCTCATGGCCTTCACGCACTGAAAAACTGTTGAAGCCGACATGTCAAGTGCACTGCGCTTCCAACAGATTAGATCATGTCGACAGGATTATGGCACCGTCAGTATTGCTATAGAAATGGATCGGCCAATCTGTTGGAATCTGTGGTGATATGAAAAGAAGTGCCCTATGGATGTCATGTATGTTTTGTGTATGTTCACCAATGAAATTCAATGTTAAAACCAAAGAGCAAAAGAGCAACAAAGACAGAGACAGAGAAAGAGAGAGAGAGAGAGAGTGTGAGAAAAAATCAAACACAAACACACCTAGTCAAGAAGTGGCCTGAAAAGTGTCTTGCTAGTAATAAATCCAGGTTAATCCAGCCGACTTGATGAGAGCCGGAAAAACGCCCTGTGCCTCCAGTACATAATTACTAAGAGGTGGCTCGGGGCCTGGGCAGGCAACTTTACTCTCACTGGCCAATTAGCTTGTGTGAAACTTTGTGGATCAATGACCCTAGCTTGGAAGGATTGGAAATTTCGAGTGAACGTCGACCATGTTGTTCGAACTTTTGCAGAAGATAAAGAGACATGTCTACCTAAACATCTTCCAACGCCCACGTTGCAAAAGATCAAACAGGCACCACCCCCTTGTTATAGATCCATGTACTTACTTGTCAAACATTTATGTACTGTACAGAAAAAGTATATTGCACACACAAACTGCAATGTTTTCCAACCTTGCACCTTCAGACCCACACACTTGAGAAAGAATTCCAAGGAGCAAGATTCTGGGTGGATCTCGGTGTGCATTGACCCTCTATTTCTTACTGCAGGTTAAGCCTTGGCTGGTTGAACAGTATGGTGAAGAGTCGGCACAACTGTAGTTTGAACAAGCGTGAAGCGAGAAGTCATGTTCAAAAATTAGTGACTAGTACGTGACTCTGGCGTCCCAAAGTCATATCACGACACATTGGAAAGGTCTTCGTTGGGCAATGCCTTCCAAAGTGTCCATCGCCCCCTGCTTAGTCTGTACAGCGGTGTGAAAGAAGTGATAGCGTAGGTAGAGTAAGATCCCTGGAGACGGGAGGTGACGCACACAGTGAGCCGCATCGGTGCTGCTAAAAGGTAGAGTAAAAGAAAAACACTCGCAAAGGAGACCGCAACAAGTGGAAAGTCGGTCGTGGGGCGTATTGGGATCATGCAGTACAAAGAGTGGAATCTGCTCTCGAATAATCATGGTGGGTTGATAACGTTGTGGAACATGTGTAGGCGGCTGTGGCAATGGGAAAGTGGGAACTGGTGGAATAATGTGGTGGAACCGGGAACCGGTGGTGGTGCTGGAATGGGAGCATGGTGAAATGCTGGCAATATGGGAGGGTGTTGGTGGTGGTGAAAATGATGTTGTGGGACTGCCGGATGGTAATGTCCTGTTCGTGCTCCATAGTGTTGAAAAGGCTGATGTGGAAAAGTGCTGGGCGGATGGTAAATGTAGCCACAAGGATGTGACATGGCCGCAAGGGCACTGCGATTCTATCGAAAATGCAAGACTATTGCAGAAACTGTAAGACTCGCTATGACTCGCTACACTGCGAAACTCTCTGGATGTCGATGGCGAATGTAGAAGGTCGATACAAGTAGTGTCAAGGTACAAACAGAAGGTTGAAGTTGAAGTTGGACGTCAAACTTAAACGTTGACTAAAATGAAGTCCTTGTGTGAAATAGACTCAGTACGTCAATGTCAGTGAGCTCTGATCATACATTCAGGATACGGAGGTGAAGCGAATTCAGAAGAATCTTCGAGCAACATTTTTCAGCATAATGGCATAGAGAGTTGGTTCAAAGCGGACATTCATGGAATTCTCTCCTGTGTAGGAGTAAAGACTCAGTAACAGCGCCCCGGACGGGGATCACACAGCTTAACGCGGTGGGAAGAAGCTGCGAGGACACACCTGAGAAAAAACTCCAAGGAGCAAGATTCTGGGCGGATCTCGGTGTGCATGAACCCTTTATATAGTTCTTATTGCAGGATAGACCTTGGCTGGTTGAACAGTGTGGTGAAGAGTCGGCACAACTGTAGTTTGAACAAGGGTCAAATGAGAAGTCATGTTAAAATGTTGTGCAGGTACGTGACGTTGGCATCCCAAAGTCATATCGCGACACGATGGAAAGGTCTTCGGAGGTAGAGTATGGTAGAGTAAGATCCCTGGAGACGGGAGGTGACACAAACATACACACGCACTCACCCTGATTCTCACTTGTGGCCCTGAGGGGGGCGGCGAAAGCTAGGCAAATAAACAACGCTGCGGCTCTTTAGGCAGCAAAAGCCTGGCCGGGAATCGCAACATGCCATGGCCAAGGGAAAAGGAGAGTGCCAACAGCGCCCCCCCAATACGACCCCAACACAGCCAACACATGGCAACACACACCCCAGCAACCGCCGCAGCAGCAGCAGCAACAGCCACAACAACAAAAACTGTAACCAGCAGCGGCAGCGGCAGCAAGCAGAAGCTACCAAGCAGCAGCAGAAGCAGCAGCAGGAGTAGCTAGCAAGCAGCAGCACCAGCTACCAAGCAGCAGCAGCAGCTACCAAGCAGCAGCAGCAGCAGCTGCTACCAAGCAGCAGCAGCAGCTACCAAGCAGCAGCAACAGCTACCAAGCAACAGCAGCAGCAGCTACCAAGCAGCAGCAGCAGCAGCAGCAGCTGCTACCAAGCAACAGCAGCATCAGCTACCAAGCAGCAGCAGCAGTAGCAGCAGCAGCAGCTACCAAGCAACAGCAGCAGCAGCAGTTACCAAGCAGCACCAGCAGCTACCAAGCAGCCGCA